GCAATTAATCTTTATTTAAGTTGAATCAAATATATAAAAATATGTGTGCGTGTGTTTATAATTATTCTATATGTATATTATAAATGTTATTCTATATGTATATTATAATATTATTATAAATGTAGCTTTAACGATTTTGTTGATTTTTTTTTGTGGTTGTGAATATCATCAGTTTTTTTTCTAACTATGAGAGCATCTTTCAGAGGTGTGATCGATTTGAAATTTTGTTAGTTCAATGATATTCCAAAAAAATGTTAATCTTTATGTGATGCTGAAACATCACCTGGAATCTGAAGGATACCAACCCCTCACCAACTTACAGCAGACGTTGTAATAGTGTTATCTTGGTGATTGAATAGGGAAGAGAAATGAGAATAATTTGGTGAGGGATTCCAAGTTCACTCGATATAAATTTTAGTTTTTTTCTTCTAGGGTCACCAGGATAGCTTAGATGGATGATGATCCAGAAATCACTCGCGCGGAGCTGAGGTGGATCGATAGTAAATACATAATATAACAGTAATTTTGCCGTTGGCAAAAGAATCTATTCCTCTATTTCATACCCTTGATTTTTTACGCAATAGAGGAACAAGCAGGCCCACAGTTTACCTGATGTTAAGTGAATGCTGTAACCCGTAGATATCTACATCTATCCTAGATTAAGAATCAACATGCAGATACTTTGTCACCGCTGCGCTGAGGGCTAAGCTGGAATGCCTCGGTTCCAGTTAAACAGGGTCTCCGGTTCTCTCTTTACACTCACCGTACGAAACACAGCAGCATCAAGCTATAATTTTACGTTGGTTATCTGTGAGAGCGTGCTCCTAGCCCAGTCCGGCCGACCCATGCTACAACTATAATATAGCTGCAGCGTGGCTCTACCTCGTCTTATACCGTAGGAAAGGGTATAAGGAACGCCAGAACGATTTTGGCTTCCAACAAATGGTGGTACCAACATATTGTGTACGCCAAATGTAAAATACTTAGAACGGTAACGTTGTCAGACGTGTGGTACTGCAAGTGCCATTCCGCCTGCCAAGCGTGATGATATGGACAATGTGTAGTATAAAGAATATAAGTTCTTATAGAATAACTTAATATTTTTTTAACGAAAAGCAATAAATACATTTTTAAATAGTAATATAATTCACTTCCTTGATTCCCGAAATTTTCAGTGCCGCCCTCGTACCATGTTTTTGCAATATCATTGAAGTAACCAAATTTCAAATCGACCACACCTGTGAAAGTTGCTCTCGTCTTATTAGCTAGAAAAACAGCTGATGAACTTCAAACGTCTGAACAGATTTTCTATAGTCACAGCTAAACACTCTGGTTTATCCAATTGGCGTAGCGCCTTTTACTTATTGGCTCCTGATTTATACTTTAAGTTTAACTTAATATACTTAATAAGTTAAACTTAATGTACAAAAAAGTAATAAACCTTTATATATATATATATATATATATATATATTTCTTTATTATATATTAATATATTCGTAATATATTCTAAAACATCTTTGAACAAATAGTTTTACTATGAAGTTAGTTTATATGGAAATAAATTGATGAAATTTGAATATCATTATCTACCTTCGAATTCAAATTCAGAACAAACATTTGATTTCTATCCACCACACCAAAATAAACATTAGATGTTTATTCTAGGATAACTGAATATTCGAGTTAATTAGGCGTAGAACCTCCGGAGATATGCGCAGGCATTGAAATTTTATACTAATCAGCAGTGTAGAGTTTTCATACAAGGCAAGACACGTTGCAGCTATAATTATTATGGTTGTAGCACGAAAGGGTCGGCTCAACCGGGGAAGGACCACGCTCTCACAGAATATCAGCATAAAATAGCATCTTAATACTGCTGTGGTTCGTGTAGTGAGTATAGAGAATCGGAGACCCATTTTACTGGAAACGAGGCATTCCGTTTTAGTCCTCAGCGTTGTCACACGCATCTGCATTTTGATTCTTAATCGAGAATAACTGTAGATGTCTATGGGCCTCAGCATCCACTTACCATCAGGTGAACTGTGTGCTCGTTTGTTACCCTTATTCTGTTTAAAAAAAGACCTTTTACACTTAGGACTCCATCTCTGCCTAGGCGTTCGTTTGGTTAGGTTACCTTCAACATCTTCTGCGGTATTATTTCGCGTGCATTTTAAAAAAAAGCAAAGCAAAAGATATCAAATTTTTAACTCAGAATTTTTATTATTTGGTTGCAGGACATATGTCCTGCCTAGGAGTTCATTAAGCCAGGTACTACTTTTTTACCTATTTCAGCCGCCAAGTAGCAATGCGTGCACTGTTGGGTTCTAGTATAAATGATATAAAGAGCCAGAATATTTACAGGCTGAGGCATGCCATCTTAGTATTTAGTGGTAACAACGCATCTACGGGTATAAATATACAATGTGTGAACTTGGTTGCAGACATCTACACATGCTGTCATTGCCACTTACTATCAGGTGAACATTGCGTTTGTTTATCACCTCAACATATATAAATAGACCCTGTTCGATCCACCAGTACAAGTGAAGCTGTTATTTGTGGTTCAAAGTGCTTCGTGAGGGAAACAGAATATTTATGTAAAATGACAGCAACCAACGAGCATACAGTCCACCTGATGGTGAGGCTATGCTGTGGACCATAGAGACCTACATCTATCTTCGATCATGAAATAAAATACAGACGCGTTGTCACCCCTAAGGACTAAGATATAATGCCTCGCTACTTGTGAAAAAAGTCTCCGGATCACTACACTCACCATACGGAACACAGCACTGCTATTTGCGCTAGTATTCTGTGAGTGCGTGGTACTTCCTCGATCGACTCGACCCATTCTTTATCCATACAATACCAGTAAAAAGGTTCTCCGATTCTCTGCACTTACCATATGAAACACAGCAGAATTAAGATGCTATTTTACCATTATATGTGTGAAGCGTAGCTCTATCAGGTTAAAAATTTGAGAGATTCCGTCAACGAGTAATTGAAAATTGTGGAGGAGTCTTTCTTCCTCTAAAACTCTAAGCATTAAACGGAGGCAGGAATAGAATATAATCTTTTTTTTATTCATTATTATAGATTACAAGTAATTCTTATTTAAAGCAATTTTTTAATTTTACCACTGGTTAGGGGAAATAAAATCTGTCCATGACCAGTCTCAGATTGGGGGCGACTAAATCTAGTCCAGTTTAATCCCCAGAAGACACAAGTTTGCGCGTTTACCGCCAAAAAGAACCCCTTTGTCGTATCTCCTCAGTTTCAAGGCAGTTTCCTTGTTGCCTCAGCCAGTATCGGAATCCTCGGCGTCGACATATCGAGTGACGTGCAGTTTCGTGGTCACTTGGAAGACAAGGCCAAATTGGCCTCCAAAAAGCTTGGCGTGCTCAGCAGAGCGGGACGGTATTTCATGCCGGCACACCGCCTGCAACTTTACAAGGCGCAGGTTCAGCCTCACATGGAATACTATTCCCATCTCTGGGCAGGGGCTCCCCAGTGCCAGCTCCTTGCACTTGACCGCGCCCAGCGCAGAACAGCTCGAATTGTCGACGACCGAGTCCTTTCCGATCGGCTCGATTCATTGGCGCTGCGAAGAGATGTTGTATCTCTTTGCATTTTCTTTCGCATTTACCACGGGGAGTGGTCTGAGGAATTATTTGGATTAATCCCAGCCGCCAAGTTTCACAAACGCACATCGCGGCAGAACTCCCGATACCATCCACACCATTTGGATGATTGGCGGTCCACCACTGTGCGATTTAGAAGATGTTTTCTTCCTTGCACAACTTCCTTGTGGAATAGTTTACCACCAGCGATTTTTTCAGACCGATACGACTTAGGGACCTTCAAGAAAAGAGCCTATTCATTTTTGAAAGGCCGGCAACGCATCTGCATTTCCCCTGGTTCCCCTGGTGTAGCGATTGTTCATGGGCGGCGGTATCGTTTGCTCCCTCTCCTATAAAAAAAATGTGCAATGCAGCGGGACTCTACAACGTAAAATAATACGTCACCTATTTTGTCACGTGTGTGTTGTATGAGACTACATTGTGACCACTACCAAGCAATGTACCAAATCCGAGGCTTGGGCCTCTCGCGTCATATAGATGATAGCAGTCATATTTTATATACTGGTGATGGTGATAATGATGACGCCCTTACGATGACTACTTCATTGGTCTAGTGGTTGTAAACGTGGCTGGTGATCATGAGGTTCCCGGGTTCTAATTCCAGGTCGGGCGAAAATCGTTATTTATTGTGTATACTGTCTAGAATTTTTAGTAGCAGCCCGGAATCAGGAAGTTATCGGTGTTTCACGGCCATGCCTCAAAAAGCACGTAAGCCCGTAGGTCCTGCGCCTGATCTCTCTCGGGTCGTGTCGGATTATCATCCTATCGGACTATGAGAGTGAGGGACTAGAGAGTGCATCTCTTCTTGCGCATACGATTGGTCACTATAATACTGTACTGCGCAGATGGCTAGTATCTGCTGAGACTGGCCGGCGTTATCGAAATTCGGTTTAGAGGACATTATTAGAGGAGTTCGTGTGGCTCGATGTTATACTTAGCCTTGTAAACCGCACTCTTCACTCTTCTCCCTGGACGTCAGCAAGTCGAGTGGGCCTGATGAAGGCCCTGCCATTGTGCTGAAGACGTCACATCTTCGGCGTTTTTCCCGGTTACAAATATGGGTTTATTACATCTGGTTTTAATAAGACGGTTATACCGCAAATATGCCAGGACCTGTCATATGACCCATTTACAATGTGAGAAGAATCATGATATCTAGGCAAGAGTAAATAGGCATTTGTTTAGCGACGTCAGTGTAATTTATCAACTATGGTTACATAACTTTTTTCCTTCAGGTGGGATATTTGTCTGTATGTTAGCACTGGCTATAGTTAAAAAAATCTGCCAGAAACTATACTAACTTTTAGCATTTTCTATAATTACTAAAGGAAACCCAACAGAGAATAAAAGTCAAATTACACCTCGTGAAATGTTTGTATTTGCAGTTTACAAAACTATATACAAATATTTACAATCCTCACATTGCATTAAACAGTACAAAATATAATTTTACGGTTACAAAAATATAATAAAATGAAGAGATATAAGATAAAGGCGCATATTTCTTACCACGTTTTTATGTCGGTCTTTTCTATTTGTTCGGTACAAATTTAGCAATCGATTTTAATGTTTCCTTGCAATGAGCTAGGGTACAATAAAAACGTGGTAAGAATGATTTTGTATTACAATTATTTATTTCGATGACTCGTTCGGTCTTTGCATTTTTCTATTAACAACACAAGATTTATATACTGTTAGCTATATGCATTTCTCTTAAAGGTACTAATCAACAATCATACATAGCTCATCTCATTATCATACATAACGGTAATAGAACTATCTTAAAGTAAAGAACCCGGTTCGATTGATCCGTCAATCGTCTCTATAAGTTCACTTGTGACCCACAATTGTCACATCAAAGTTTGATCCCGACAAATTATTGTTCACTTAAAACTAATTGGGTAAATAAAGGGGCAGCGGGCGCGGCACATTCAAAATGAGGGTAGCGGGGGGAAGGAACTTAGAGCAGTCGAGTATGCGGAGGCGCGTCTTCGTCGCTGTCCACACAATCGAAGCGTATGTGGCGACCGTCACTACGTCGTCTCTCGTTCTTGTCTTGACCGTCCACCATGTTCCCATTATCCCCCGCGGCACCCGCGCATCCGCCGCCCGCCGCCAGTCACACTTTATCCTCCCCCGCCCCCGGAGCAGCCGACCGCACAAACTGGAACACATGCATCTGTCATATTATATAGCACACTACGGAAAACATTCAACGCTCCAACAGTCTACTTACAGACACCGTGGTGTTAGTAGTGGAGTTGGCGCGAGGCCGGAACGTTAGTACCCGCCAACGGCGCCGCAGTTGGGCCAATACTTCGCCGTTGCAAAAGCAATAGAGCACCGCAACGCACAAGCCCTGCAGTGAGATTGTCAGCGCTGATATATACTCGTACACGAGCCACCAGCTTGCCGTACGGTCCGGCCGAAAAGGCGTCAATAAGTACTGCAACCCAAGTAAGGGTGCTAAAAGACAGGTCGCGCGTAATGCGTGGAGTGCGGTAGCGGAGGGACGCGCTGCACCACCAGCCGCGCCACCTGCGCGGAGCTTCGTACAAAGAACGCGGACAATGTTGCATAGAAAGCCAAGGTTGAGAACTACAGCGATGCATACAAGCACGGCAAGTTCCAGCCTGGGAGGACCATCGTCCATCCAACACAACTGCTCATCAGCTGCGGCACGGCGACTGACGTAAATGATAGCAGGTAGTACAGGTAACAGCCATCCTGCCACCAGCAAAGCGCGTACCAAACGGCGTTCCGACACAAACGCACTGACTAGCACCGTATGAAGGTACAGCCCTTCACACAGCATCCACGTATAGTTAGTAAGCAGGACGTACTGAAGTACAGCGTTGAGGATGCGACACCATACCGGTGAGTCGCTCAAAGTTGAGGGGGAGCGTATTACGAGGCCATACCATGCCAACCAAAACGCGTTATTCGCAGCGAACGACGCGAAGAGATTCATATGCACTGTGATTCGGGCACACCGTAGACTTCTGCAAATTAAAAAATAATTGTAATCCTGAATGTACTATTGATTACTTTTGCTGATTTTAAAACGTCGAAAACTCACTTACTTAAAGTAGAAAAGTATACCAAGCGAGACAAGTAATGCGACGAGCGATACGCTATAGCCCATCTCGTACACGGTGATTATTTCACTGACGTCCTGAAAATCATTGATAATATAATTAAAATGTGCATTTCACACGCTACCGCATGCGAAGCGAAACCTTGAAATGAGATTATTTAATAATATGATAATTTTCATCTACAAGCGCAGCATAAAATATGAAACAAAATTTTAATTTTATAACGAACTAGCGATCTGCCCCGGCTTCGCACGGGTGATTTCCGGATCTCTAATTGTGAATCGTTTACATCCCACTCTAACACAGAAAATTTCATTAACATCGCTTCAGTAATTTTCGAGTTTTAGCGAGACTAACACAGCTATTGATTTTTATATTATAGAGAAGATAAATATTATGATCCTTATTTCAAGACATGTAGAACCTAATTTTAGTGTAATAAATGAAAACAATATTTTCTTTTGAGTGAAATTGCTTTGTTATAGCATCATCTACTCCATTCTATAGGTAAAGTCATTTTATCGAACAATAATTGATTGACTATAAGTTGGTACGTAAAATAGACGCTAGATGTCCTAAATACGAATAATATAATATTCTATTTCATTCTCCCGCAGACTAAATTCTATGGATGTATACGTTTGTCTCTTTTTAGTGTCGCTTTTTCGTTTTCATCGAGTTTCAAATCATAACGATTCTAAAGAAGTTTTCACTTGAAAAGACTCAGCTGTGTTGTTGTTTACTTACATCTTCCGGCTTCACACAAGTTGTGTAGTTGGACCAAGGTAAACCAGTTAGCGGATGTTTGTACCACGTCCCGTTCTCAGTGCACTCTTTGTGCGCCATCACTGTAGACAAGAACACAGAATCTGTAGATGCTATTAATAAATTAATCAGTATATGTTAATATCTTAATGCTAAACAAAAATCATTTAATTTAATTTTTTAAACGTGGTAGAGCCGTGCCGCTGCTATATTTATTGTATAGTTGTAGTACAAATGGGTAAGGACCACGCTCTCAAAGAATACTAGCGTAAAATAGAAAGTAGAACCGGATACTCTTTTAACTGGAAAAGAGGCATTTCATCTTAATCCTCACGGTTGACGATACATCTGCATTTTGATTCGCAAACAAGGATTAGTGTAGATGTCTATGGGCTACAGCAACCACTTAGCATCAGGTGGACTGTGTGCTTGCTTGTTCCCCCCATCCTAAATAATAAAATAATGGTCCATATCAACCTACTTCAATAAATAGTATCAAAATTTAAAATCCTTAATTTATATTAATTATTTTTCTTAAATAATTATAACGTTACCTCCACACTAGGATTTATCTCTTGTATCGTGGGGTTTACATACATAATTTCACAAGGACAAACATCCAGACCCGGAACAATATTTTGTAGGCCGTACAAACAAATCGTCATCACTTATGTTAAAAAGTACTAACTCCAAGCCAATATTTACGCGATATTTTAAGCCTTTCCGTAAAAAAATATCAAAAATGACATAAAAAAAGTGTTTATGCTTCAAAGGTTTTTTTCATTTATATTTTGTATTTACATGACAAAGAAGCATGGAATGGTGTCATTCTAAACCAACACCGAGCTATGTAAATTTGAAATTTAACCATTTATAGTACATTTATTATTATCAAATAATAGATATGTGTTTACCGTCACCGTCACCGTTACAGCCTATTAAAGTCCACTGCTGAACATAGGTCAGCCCCATAGATTGCCTCATATTGGGTATTTGCCATAGTTGCCACGCTTGACAAGTGAGTTGGCAGCCGCAGTTTTTATTCTTATTTTTAGTCGTTATTAAGAAGACGGTACTGCCCATCTCCTGTTTTGTTTCCCTTTGTACCCTCTTACGGGTAGTGGATATTTTTGTACCGCTGCTACACGGTACGTTTAGTGGCGGTGTGCGATATGTGTTTTCCAACATAATATTACGTGGCTGCAATGTAAGTTATTTAGCAGAGAATAGTAAGTGGTCCCATAGTAAATTAAAAATGCGTCCATTAAACCGTTTTAATTTTGTGTAATTTGGAGATACATCTCACCGTGTGATGTGACTGGTAGGGCGGTGTAGGAATATACACTGCCTTTTATCATCACTCAGCGACAGAAAGTAACAAACATGCCGATGGACAGCAGCGTTCTTACAACAATTAGAAAACAAAAACTGCGGTTGCCTATACCCCGGCAGTCTATTGGCTTTGGATTTTAACAGGCTGTGATAGACTGGTGTGCCGGATGTGCCACAAAAAATGGAATATAGACTACAGCATCCACTTGCCATTAGTTAATAAAATTTTAATAAAATCAATTTTACTAAGGCTGACACCAAGAATCACTTGCTGCTTGTGTAATTTCAGGTGAGCCCAAGAGCCTCAATATCGTTATAATTAACATCCTATTTACATCAGCCCGTAAGTCTACTTCTGAATAAAATATGATTATACGTGGTAGAGCCACAATGCAGCTATATTATGGTTTTAGAATGAAAATAGGCTTGGCTAGAACGGGGTAGAACCATACTTCCATAGAATAATAACGTAAAATAGCACCTTACTGCTGCTGTTTTTGATATGCGTGTAAAGAACCCGAGACCCTTTTTACTGGAAACGAAGCATTCCATCTAAGCCCTAACGGGTGACAACGCATCTGCATTCTGATTCCTAATCGAGGATAGATGTAGATGTCTATGGGTCACAGTCTCCACTTCCCATCAGGTGAACTGTGTGCTCGTTTGTTACCCTTATCCTATTAAAAAAATCATCATTTTGAGTTTTGATTGAGGATAAATGTACATGTCTTTTTATATAGTAGAGGAGGTAAACGAGCATGCGGCTCAACTGATGGTAAGTGACTTTCGCCGGCCATGAACAACTGCAACACCAGGGGAATTGCAAATGCGTTGCCGGCCTTTTTCAAAAGAGTAGGCTCTTTTCTTGAAGGTTCCTAAGTCGTATCGGACCGGAAAAATCTCTAGTGGTAGTCGATTCCACAAGGAAGTTGAAATACCACCAAGAAGAAAACTTCTTCTTAATCAACATCATCCGTCTGTAATGGTTTCTCTTTCACCGTCACCACTCTTATCATATGGTAATGCTATGCCTTTAGGTTAAAATTGCTTAACTCCAAATCTCATGGAATGAAACTAATTTTAGGTATTTTACCGCGTTTAATTTTAACTTTTTTAATTCCCAACGTTTCGGGCACTATATAACACCATATGTTGGAGGAGTCACAGACAAGATTGGCTACATCTTGAAGTGGGATTCCATTAAATCATACTACTAGCCGCCGAAGAAGATTAGTCAGTTCTTACCATCCGTTAAGTGCAATATCCTTATACAAGATGCATCTATGTATAAGCTTGATTGCGAATGTCGTCTCTCTTACATAGTACAAACAAGAAGATCGATAAAAATCGCGTAAAAGAACATATCGCTGATATGAAGCACCTCTGGGAAATATGCGGTATATCAACATGTTCAGGATCGTCTCAACTGTTATATCAGATTTGATAGACCACAAATCCATGTACCATGGGTACTGTAAATTGCCCGAAACGTTAGAAATTAAAAAATTTAAAAGTTAAATGCGATAAAATCCGTAAAATTAGTTATATTCCATGTATAGTATTTGCGTAAATATAAAAAAAACATTATCCTTATCTTATTTTCATTATTTTTTTAATTCATATTTTTATCCGACTGCCCCTGCAGGTAATGTTTTTCGAGTGTGTGTATGGATGTCTATTTCTTTGGAACGTTCTGTATCCTAAGCGACTTGATAGATTTTAACATGCGATATTTCATAAGATTCGTCTTAGTTGTATATATTACATAAGATATAAAAAAAAATATCTTTCCATTAAACGTTTTTACGCTGTCGGGTTTTTGCACACATTGAATGCGAAGATCTATTGTCTCTATTGTCACCAAATCAAAAAATCGCGATCCACTCATTTTAAATCACTTCCACAAGCTTTATTTATTTATTTTTTTATTTATGCTTTATTGCACTAAATATTTGTACAAAAGGCGAGCTTAATGCTATATGGCATTCTCTACCAGCTAGCCTTGGGTAGAACAGATAAATATTATATTGCACTCATATAACTAAAAAGTGCACCAATAGCAAGAGGAGATTTTAATTAATACTTCTGACGTAGTTATGATATTATATACTATCACTTTCACGTCAGTGGGTCGGTATGCATGTGAGAAAGATATCTTTAGAAAAACTGAATTTTTCTTTTTCATTTTTTTTACTAGCTTTTGATTTTAATCCTAAGGAAGCCTTTTGACTTTCACTATTGTAAATCGTCTCACTCATTAATTTATTTACTTTTAAATTTATTAATTATTTGACAATTTTTTTCGGTAACAAAATACGAATCACGAGCAGTCAAAAAAAATTCGTGTTAAACAAAAAAAAATTGTGGCTTTAAAACAAATAAAAAATAAAAATTATTCTCTGTGGGTGATGCACCTCTGTTATGTATTTTATTTATTTATGTTATATATATTGGCCCTTTTCTTTAATTTTTGTACTTTTTCTTTTTTTTTCTTTAAATTTAATCACGTTGTGACATAATGTGTAATGCAGAGATAGAAAGCAATAAATAGTATACATTGTAATTACTGTAAGATGTCCTTTAAAAAATAAATAAAAAACGTGTTTCGGTAATTAATAGAAATAAATAGATTATTCAAAGCATTACACGAACTTTCGAGGTGAGCACTTTTGGATTTTCCAAATTAATGTTTAAAAAATGTTTTAACCTTTCAGCTTATTTTAAAATTACGTACGTTCAGGGCTAAAGCCATGGACAAATTCAGGGCAGTGCTCGTAGACTGTGGAGTTCGCTGGCGTGTGGGGCCAACACAGCCAAGTGTCGAACGTACCCTCGCAGTATAAACCTGAAACAATTCATATTATTTATAGACACGTATAGACAAAACTAATTTTACGAATTTATGAATTTGATTTTATAATGTATTAATATTCAAAAGCTGAAGGAAGGTGTGACATCGGGACGTCAAACACCTCAGTCACATCATGGGCGCTATCACCGGAAACATCGGAAACTAAAAACAAGTAAAATATGTTAAAAATAAACGCGAAAAAATCTGTAAAATTAGTTTCATTCAATTTCGTGTATTCGTGTAAATATAAGAAATCATGAAGAATAGAACAAAGAAATTGTCGGCAAGTGATCTAGTCTCTCAAAATGCTATACCAAATGTGAAGGTGTTAGTAAGACAATAGTGGCATTAGACCATGAAAACCATTTAGCATGACGAACACGGTAACGATTACGATCCTTTCCATTGTGAGCTCATCAACAAGTAAAAGTAATTAATGTCGTCACTGTATAGTGACGGTGTAAGAATATATAACATGTAACAAAAACCCTATGGTTCTCGTTAAGTATGTTATCACCATCAGTATTTAAACGTATAGAAATAACATGTGAATACTAAAAACTAAGCTACTTTATGCAAATAAAAATTTATTTAATTTTTGGAACGAACTTCCATATCCTACTGTATGGACTTGACGGATGGGGGCTAGGTGAAAAAAGGTGTAAGAATTTACCGTCACGATTCTTTTTATAGTGTAGACGACCTTGGGGGCTGTAAGGAAGCGACATGGAGTAATATCCATCTCCCTCGCATTTTTTCTTATCTTGCCATGAAAGAAATATTATTTTAAATGAAGCTTCATTTTAATATACGCTAGTAATTCATTTATTTGTATTTGTTAATCAATAATAGAATAGAATAGAATAATTTTCTATTCAATATAGATCACATGTGTAATTCTTATTGAAAGTCATTTTTTACTTTACCACTGGTTAGAAAAAAAACCTCTGTCCTGGGAAGAACCAGCAAGAAGCCCAGCGGGACTTTTTTTTAAAGCAAATTTTACATTAATGGTTGTACAAACTATATATGTACAAAATTTATTTTAGAAACAGCTTGGAAGCGACCACCTCATTCCCAGGGGTTATTATCAACCATGTATTCATTTATACTATAATAACCCTTTTTATACAGTTTCAACTTTACAAAAGATTTAAACTTGGTAATAGAGAGAGCCTGTACACTTTCCAGGACCTTGTTGTAATAGCGTATACATTGCCCCAAGAATGAATTACTGACTCTATGGAGTCGAGTAGAGAGAATATAATACGGTTATCAATAATAATTAACCACGAAACGAACTTCGTTCCAACATAGTGTGGCCGTAGAAAGGAAAAGGGGAGATCTCCCGCCGGGCAAGGTGTTCAGCACGGGGAGCGGCCAACGCTCCGAGTGGTAGATCGGAGCTATTCTATATATACTGTTTTAACTTCGGAACTTTTGTTAGCGCGATTTAGGCTTTGATGTGTTTCGCCTGTGGCGCGACGACAGCGCCGCCACAATAGTGTCCCTCGACACACACGCATGTTTTTTATGGTCGATTTTTCTAAAGTTATGTTTCACTATACGATTGAATACTGATTTTTTTATAGGAGAGGGGCCAAACAAGCATACGGCTCACCTGATGGTAAGTGACTACATCCGCCTATGTATATACATATACCAAGGGAATTGCAGATACGTTGCCGGCCTTTTGTAAAGGAGTAAGCTCTTTTCTTGGTCGCTTCGGTCCAGAAAAATCGCCAGTGGTAAGCTATTCCACAGAGAGGTCGTACGCGGAAGAAAACTACTAGTGAAACGTACAGTAGTGGACCGCCAAGCATCCACATGGTGTGATGATAAATGGTTTCTGTGGCCCATAGACATCTACATCTATCTTCGATTAAAAATCAAAATGCAGATGCGTTGTCACCCGTGAGGACTAAGATGGAATGCCTCGTTTCCAGTAAAAAGGGTCTACGGTTCTCTACACTCACAAAACGAAACACAGCAGCGTTAAGCTGCTGTTGCACGCTGGTATTCTGTGAGAGCGTGGTCCTTCCCCGGTCGAGCCGACCTGTTCGTGCTACAACCATAATATAGCTGCAGCATGGCTCTACCACGTATAAATATATCTTAATATTATCCGACTTTTGATAGGCTGTTATGTGTATGTAATGATAAAAATAGCAGAAATAGCTTTTCTTTTATTCAATAATAGCTATCCACCCTGGCTTCGCACGTGTGATTTTAAGACCTAGACAACAGCTCCACCTAGCGGGTCCATACTCATATGTACACAAAAAAATCATCAAAATCGTTCGAGCTATTTTCCAGTTTCAGCGAGACTAACGGACATTAATTGATTTTCATATATAGAGATAACATGTAGATTACGAGTACAAACAATACTAATTGCAAGTGATGCTTTTACCACTGGTTCTAAATATAGATGGAAAGGTTCTTATATAATATAAACAAGCTGGAGATCCGTGACATACAGACGGAGAGACGGGCTGGCGGATAGACGGATAGAAGCATAGACGTATAATCGGGAAAAAGGATAGACGGATAAACGGACAAATGGACAGAGGTACAGACAAACATGGACCTAGAAAAAAGGGCGGACGCCGTCTCTTAAAACAATTACTGACGCACCCATACTAAGTCAGCTCGCTAATACAAACAAGCCGGCACGCACACATTCACACCATAGTAAGTCTACCGCCCGCCATTACCCTCCTAACCGCGCCCGCGTAATATTGTAGTGAAAACCTGTCGAAATCATAGTGGTTCCATTAAAAAAAGCCAGGGGATCACTTTCATATGTAAGTAAGTAATTAATTCAACTTATTTCTCGTTTTTACTTTAAGTTATTTCAAACTATATTATCAAAACATTTTATTAACAAACAAAAATGATTATTAAAACACGAAACTAATCAGTGTTGGCAGTTATTAAATTTGCAAGTTACCTTAAATATGGGAGATTAATATCTTTCTGTTCACTTTTAATTATTCCTTAATTCATTAATCTACCTCTGTATATGCTTTTGGCGTCCCATGATACTAAACTACCATTATTATAAATTTTACATTTTATAGATTTCCCTCTGCAAATGATGCGTTGAAGAATGACTGGGTGCAAATAATAAGAGATTGTCGAAATGAAAACAATTGGAATCCATCTAAATCTAGTGTAATCTGCGGTAAACATTTCGAGGAGAATGATTTATAGACAACAAAAGGTGGACTTCTTCGCAATGTTACTTACGCCATCCCAAAAAAGATAAAGAACAATAAATATCTATTTTTCTCTTACAATTATGAGCTTAACATATTAAAACGTAATTAATTTTTTAGTTTTTATTCGAGATGGTAAGCGTTCCGGAGGAACAACTCGCTGAAGTAAATACTTCCAGTGCTTCGCATGGGGTACGTACTAATAAAGTATTATTAAAGAAAAACCTGTTTAGGAGAGAATAGTTTTGTAATCGATTTAAAAAAAGGAGGTTTCAAGTCTATTGAATGTTTTTTTTTTAAGTTACACCGACAATCTCGAACCGTTTTCGATGATTCTTTTTAGTGGAATAGGTTATACTACAATGTTTATCATAATGTTCATCCCGCAAGTACAACATGTTGTACTTGCGGGATGGTGAACCGAAAGCATTTAAGAGATAATATAACTATATATACTGAAAGACAACATCAATACATGCTAACCAAAATTCTGGAAAAATTTATAGCTAACGACAGGATTATTTTTTTTAATTTAGAATTTGACCATGCATTTGCTGGAGTAGAACATAAAATAGCTCTCATTAAATATATAGCCGAAAAATATCTGAATATTCGTTTTCACCGTATAGCTAAATTGTAGGGGATTTCTAAATATTTTGACAGTAAAAGACAATATTATAAAAAATTAACCCAACAAAAGGGACTCTAAAAAACCGTTAATAAATGTAAATTAATTATAATATTAATAAATGTAAATATTTATATATTCAATGAGTTTTATAACAATTTTGTTTTATTAAACTTAAAGTCCTGGTTCCGAGGACTGTGACGAATATCTTAAACCTAATTGAATTAGTTTGCTTTACAAAATGGGTAATTTTCCTCCATCTGGCAACTCTCTACACGCTCACACATAGTTACGCGGCCGTCACTGCGACGCTTCAATTGTTTCTTAACAAGACTCTGTCCGCCCTTTTTTCTAGGTCCATGTAAATAGGTATCTGTTTTACGCTTTGGGTTCGAAGCCTAGAAATTAGGTTATATATACGTAGGCATGTCTATAAAATACTGACTAGATCGAGAGTAAAGGTTTATAGTAGTTTTGAAAAAAAAGCATCATCGGAAAGCGTACCATACATATGTTTGCGACGAATTGCTAACAATCTGTTTATTATATTTTCTTCTATCTTATGTTGTAACGCACGCATATTTGCGCCATCCATCGTGAGTGCATCTGACCATGATCCTCTTCGCGTCCATATATTAAATTAATTAAGGAATATTAACATTTTCAAATATATTTTTTTACTATTATAATTGAGCAGTTAGCTACTATCCCACCGGATGGAAAAACAGATTATGGCAACTTATTCCACTCCTTTGCCGTACGCATGACGAACGATGTAGCAAACCGTTTGACTCGAATGCGTGGTACGTTGGCAACGAAAGAGTAGAGACTTAATTCTTCCTTAAGTTAATTATTTTAAAAAAAATATTCTTGTGTCACCTTCAGGCGGCTTCGTTTGATTATTGCGCAGCGCACACGCGGCGCCATCTCGCGCGATTCGCTCCGGGTCGTCCATCTCGCCCGCTCAATGCTTGCTCATAGTCGCAGAAGGGTTACTGTAACAATCAATAGATGGAATAATTAGATACGATTAGTTAAAGCTTTCAATGCAGTTTTGAAAAAGCGATGCATTTGGCAAATTCAAAAAACTTTTGTGGCCAAAAAGTTTATTTATCAATATGTTTATGATGTGATTGATCATTATATATGAACCGGAGACCATTTTTACTGTAAAAGAGGCATTCCATCTTAGTCCTCACGGGTGACAACGCATCTACATTTTGATTCGCAAACGAGGATAGGTGTAGATGTCTATGGGCTACAGCAACCACTTACCATCAGGTAGACTGTGTGCTCATTTGTCACCAAATCCTATAAAAAATAGGCATTTATATTATATTGTTAAGAATGAGGGAAAAATAATAAAAGAAAATAAGAAGAATTGAAGGTAGAACTATAATCTCCCACTTGTTTTAGCAGTATAAAGTATCACGCAGTCGACTAAGAGGGATCAGTCTGTAATTCTACGAGTCTCATGTCGTTATCATGCCTGTTAGGCTAAAACATTACTTCCACGCTGAGATTCTGCCTAAGGCAAGCGATGTGGTTCTGGTCATGCAGGAGTTATTCTAGTGTAAGCAAGGAAGGTGGTGTTGCTGAGAGGCTGCCCTGCGTTATATTGAGATGACAAGTGTTGCTGTTACTTTGCATACTTTGGTGTTACAGTAGTGTGTGATTGTGACCGGTACATATTACGGTTGTTCGAACTGTATTTGCTCTATACTGAATGTGTAGCGCTGTACGCTGTCTTATTCCTGATAATGATCAATTGCGTAAGCAAGAGAGCAAGTTGAACATCCGCTCTCACACTTTTACTATTTTTAACAATCAACCTTCAGAGTAAATTCTAATACGAGTAACATTATTTTATTTAAATAATTTTGAGAATGATTTCTAACATCAGAAGTGGAATAGTTTCTAAAAATATTGTTATTACTATTTCATTATTTCTCTCTAGTTATGATATTAGTTGTCCCCAGGCGAGGATGAAATTACAGCGGAGCTTTTGAAAATTCGCGGAGCTTCGGGTGGAAAAAAGGTACTTAAAGTCCTTCAGAAGATCTTTAATTCCGTCCTCCATGGTGCCACTACTCTGGAGACGTGGAGTAGAAGTGCGGTGGCCGTGTTATTTAAGAAAGGCGACAACGCTCTCTTGAAGAACTACAAATCGATTTCCTTTCTGAGCCGCGTCTACGTGCTGTTTTCGAGAGTCATTACGAATCATATCGCATGCAGACTCGACGACTTCCAGCTTCCCGAACAATCCTGTTTCCAAAAAAGCTTTAGCATTAAAGACCACATACATACCCTTCGGCAAATTGTATAGAAGACCGAAGAGTAAAATCGGCCACTTTGTCTTGCGTATGTGGAGTATGAGAAAGCCTTTGATTCCGTCGAAATTTGGGCGGTGCTACATTCCCTTCAGCGGTGTCAAGTGGACTGTCTGTATATGGAAGTGCTGAAGTGCTTGTACAATAGGGCTACGATGGCTATCCCAGTACAGAACCAGAGTACGAAACCTATCCAACTACAGAGAGGTGTAAGACAGGGTGACGTCACCGCTGCATTGGAAGACGTTTTCAAGCTACTGGACTGGAAAGGATACGGTATTAACGTCAATGGCGAGTAAATCACTCACCTTCGATTTGCCAAAGATATAGTACTTATGGCAGAATCGCTGGAGGACCTGAGCACTATGCTCAATGAGCTCAATAGTGTCTCCCAACGGATAGGTCTTAAGATGAACATGGACATAACAAACATCATGTTTAATGTCCATGTCACACCTATGCCGGTAGTTGTTGGGAGCACTAAGCTCGAAGTTGTTGAAGAATATGTTTACCTGGGACAAATAGTCCGACTAGGTAAGTCCAACTTCGACTGAGAGGTCAATCGACGGATTCAAATCGGTTGGGCAGTGTTCGGGAAATTACGGCACATCTTATCATCAGGTATACCTCAAAACTTGAAAACGAGACTCTACAATCAGTGCGTATTGCCAGTGATGACCTATGGAACTGCGACGTGGTCCTTCACTACTGGCCGTATGAAGGAGATCAAAGTAACTCAGCTAGCTATGGAGAGGACTAGGCTTGTGGTTTCTCTGCGTGATAGACTTACAAACGAGGATATGAGCAATAGAAACAGAGTAACCGACATAGCCCAAAGAATTAGTATGCTGAAGTGTCAATGGGACCGACAAGCGATGGGGAAGAAAGGTTCTCGAGTGGCAGCCTCGTACCGGCAGGTGAAGTGTAAGGCGTCCCCCACTAGATGGAGTGACGACCTGGTAAAACATGCAGGAGTCAATGGATGCAGTTGGTTCGGGACCGTGCTTTGTAGCTTTCCATGGGGGAGGCCTATGTTCAGCAGTGGACTTATGAAAGGCTGTAATGATGATGATGATCTCAGCTATATTTTCTGCTGGTGCTTAAATTTAAAAATAACAATCAGCGGTTCTTGAATGTTTTCTATGCCGATATGCATCTATTCTGTACTAGCACAAAAAGCACAAAAAAATAAAACGCATATTTTAAATATGCGTTTTATTTTTTTGTGCTTTTTGGTTGTGGTTAGTAATAAGAAAGATCAGAAACTGCACTAACCTATTTTTTTTAATTATTCTAAGCTACTGCTTGTCTGCTATTTCACCTGATGGTAAATGATGATGCAGCCAAAGATGGTGAACTACACTGACTTAACAAAAGCCTATTCACTATTACCTTGAAGACACCCACGTTGTATTCTGATGGAAAGACCATGTAGGAAACCATTTGGTTCGAATGCTTGCTAGGTCGACAACGAACGGGTGGAGGCTGGCCGAGCATCTGTTTATCCGATGGCTATTGGCAAGTGCGATTACTAGAGTATTCGTAACAGCCAGAACTGTTTCCGGTCCAAACTATATTTGACTAACGAAGCAGCCAAGAGCACTTTGTTACTGGCCAAACCTGATTTTAGGGAAACTGTTTCTATACTCTAGGTATACTACTTTTTCCGATGTCTATTTGAAAACGCAATATTAGTGACATTAAGCTGACAGTAGGTTGAGTTTTGGCTGAAGTGGCCAAACCAGCACACAGTGGAAGTGTGAAGGTTTATTTTTAGTAAAGTTATCTATGCTTTAATTTTTTTTATCGAATAATGGTGACGAACAAGCAAACAGTACACCTGATGGTAAGTGTACCCTATCTATATCTGTTCTCCATTAAAAATCAAAATTACGGTTGCATTGCCGCTTATGAAGACTAGATGATATACTTCGTTTCCAGGTAAAATTATTAATTTGGTACAACCGGTTTCAATATAAATAAAATGAGAACATCGTCAATGTAGTCGAAGTCAATTAAATACGGCTTATTAAAGACTAGCTGTTCCCCGCGACTTCGCCCGCGTGCTATTTGGGGTTTTAATTCTTTTGCGCGGAACCCTAATTCTTTTTCTGAAGTAAAATTAAGGTATGTTACTCCTTGCGATATCAGCTATCAGCCAGTGAAAATCCCGTCAAAATCGGTCCAGTGGTTTCGGAGATTAACCGGAACAAACAGACACACAGACGGACAGACAGATAGGCAGACAGACCGACAAAAACTTTAAGAATTGTATTTTTGTTATTAGTACCATATATACTTTCATATGCATTTAGTAAAAAGCTGTAATTTTGACATTACAAACAGACACTTCAATTTTATTTATTTGTATAGATAACTCAAAAAGGGCAGTTCTTCATCAATTTTACCACCACATGAGTAGCACCAACTTTCAAATAAATAATTTAAAATTAAATATTCAGCCGACTTCAATATAAGTTATTAAGAATAACTCAAAAACCATTAGTCTGACTTTGATCAAATTCATATGGGACCACACGAGAAGTACCAGCATTCAAATAAAAAAAAGAATCATCAAAATCTGTTAACCTTGAAAAAAGTTCTGAGGAAACATACATAAAAAATACAGACGAATTGATAACCTCCTCCTTTTTTGAAGTCGGTTAGAAAGGTCATCTTTACTCTACACCAATCATATGAAATACAGCAGAATTAAGCAGCTATGAGCTTGCTTACAGAATACCTACCGCAACTTAGCATGCTCGTTTGCCCCCTCTTCTATAAAAATATTGCCCTTCCCTTTAATAATTCCGAGAGTAATTTTTATAAAGTACTGGCATCACTAAAAGTGAATGTTTACGAATCTATGTTGAAGTTAAATAAAATTTTAAAACATTTTGTCATGGCGTAAAACGAATCTCTGTTGTTTACATAATTTCCATAATGGATTAAAACAAATCTATTTGCATTTTATTACGCCTGTTCGAATAATTTTACACCAGACCTAAATCACACAGACCGGTAAGAGACAGCAATAAAGAAGGCGCGATACGTCTGATGCTCTAAGCGTCATTATGCCAACTAAGTGTGACGATTGAGGTAAACCCATTAACGTGAGAAGCCTATGGCAAAGTTGATTACATAATATTAAATAATAATAATTTATTAGGTGGTTCAGAAGGTGCCCAGGTCGCCGCTAAATGCCTAAATAAATCGGTCTGAAAGGTAGAGAGTATAAAAACACGTTGTCGATCTTATTTCTTTTCTGCCGACTTCCAAAAAGGAGGAGGTACCCAATTCGACTGTTTTATTTTTACGTGTTTTACCTTATAACTTTTTTCCTATGTGAACCGATTTTGATATTTTTTTTGTTTTAAAGCTGGTGCTTCACACTTGGATCACTATAAGTTTGATCAAGGTCTGATGCGTAGTTTTTAAGATATCCTTAATAATTTATATTGAAGTCGGTTGTACAAAATTTTTAATTTTACCACTTGTTTCTGAAAGATTCATGAAGCAACAATTCCACATTTAATACAAAAAATGTGCGAGCCAACACATTTTATGTAATATACATATAAGTCTACGTTACAAGAGTTTCCCCTCCAGATGATGCTATAGGAGAGTATAGAATGCGCATGTGCACAGTAACTAAGGTGTTGGAA